TTGCAATTATTTTGTGGAAAATGTGATAGCTATATGAATTTTGGAATCTATGCACTTAAGCATAGATTAGGAAGAAGTATCCACTTCCTAAATAACATGCCTCCAGAAACTCCATGAACTTTGATAAATGTCGAGAGTTGTAGAGGGACTTCAGGCCTTTTGTTAACAGGGTCACTATGAGTCATGCTTAACTTGAAGGCAATCAACAACATATTCCTAAAAGTTGCAGGCCTGCAGTTATCTTTTCTTGTGGTATCTTTGGTTTTGGCATCATGAAATACTGGTTTCACAGAATGAGTTTGTTAATGCTCCTTCAACTTCTATATTTCAAGAGTTTGAGAACTCCAGTGTTAATTCTGCTTCTGTTTGGAGAATGTACCAGTGCAGCCACCTGGGCCTGGACTGTCTTTTGTGATTCATTTTTAATTACTAGTTCAATCTCTTTAACGGTTCTAAGTGTACTTGGATCTTCTATTTCTTCTTTAATTACATTTTAACCTGCACATGATCTGGCAGCCTCACCATGGCACACTATTCATATGTCCACCTAAATGACAACTGTTATTCTGCTGATAGGGAAAAGTGTGATACGTGACTATGAACACTGAGGTCTCAGAGAACCAAATCTAAACTCAACTCATACACTGAACTTCCTCATCACCTATTTACAGAAATTATGGGTTGCTGTTATTTTCTCAAGGAAGCTCTGGTGGCCTACAGGGTAAAGAGTTATGCTGCCAACTCAAAAGGCAGAAAGTCGAATACACCAGTTACTCTGGGGAAGAAAGACCAGCATCCTCCTCCCCTGACCATCTACCGGTGGGTGATCTGTAAGTCGGTTCTGACTTACAGCACATAACAACATTATTTTCTTAGCAAATAATTTCCTTATACACAATGGCAGGAAATAAGATGACTAGGTTCTTGTGTGCTTTTGTGTAAAGAAACAAGATACCAGAAAAAAATTTTATCAGTACCTCTGAGGGACTTGGAGAATTGTTCTGCAGGCTTTCCTACCTGGTCCGGTCCTTTTTGCATATACATCTCACACACATACAACACCTGTATTTCCAAGATTTCAAAAGGTAGAGGATCTCCTACCCTCTTCCGAAATGCTCAAAATAAAAAGCCTGCACTCGGGAGTCAGACCTGTGTGACACTGAAGAACCTTTTAATCCTTTGTAGCATTTTAGCTTTTGTACCTGTAAAGTAGAGATAATGACAATATCTACCCTCCAGGATTGTTAAGAGTATACAGTAAGTGTAAAAAATGCTTAGAATGCCTGATGCCTTAGTTGTATAACCAGTGTTTGATATCAGAGTAAATCAAATGACTGACAAACAAACCTAATGTTATTTGCTGGGATAGTTTTAGGATCTCAGATCTGAGAGAGCAGAAAAATTCTTGTACTCTCTTGATTGAATATAAACTATAAAAATTAAAATTACATATGAGATCACATTAAAAATGTCAATAAAGGAAGAAATAAACCTGACAAAAAGGGGAAAGAAACCCCCACATGAAAAAATGGGTTTAGAGGCAGTACAGCACCATAATTTGTAAACACAACCTCTGAAATCAGGTAGACCTGGGTTAAAAAATTGGTTCCATCTTACATTACCTGTTACCTTGAACATGATGCTTAGTTTCTCTGAACCTGTTTACTCACTGTTAAAATGGAAAAAAAACCCCAAACCAAAAACTAACTTTAAGGAGGTTCAACAGAGATAGACAATGTATGTAAGGTATGTGGCACATAGCAGACACCTATTAAATTCTCCAAAAACCAAAACCACTGCTGCTGAGTTGGTTCTGACTTGCAAGGACTCTATGGGACTTCCCCACAGGGCTTCCACAGTTCACCTTCACAAAAGCAGACTGCAAAGCAGCTGGTAGATTAGAAGTGCCAATCTTTCAGCTAGCAGCCAAGCACTTAACCACTGAGCCACCAAGGCTCCTACCCAATAAGAATTGCCTTTATTTAGTTTTATAAGGCAGAAAGAACATTATTCTTGTCCATGGATTCTCATCACTAATTAAGTATGTGAACCACATGAAAAACTTTTAAAAAGCAAGGATATGCTGCTCCCCGAGACACTTTTCAGTCAAACACTAGTCCTATAAACACAAATGCCTGAGAGAATGGGCTCCTTAGCACAATCAACTACAAGAGACCAAAAAGGGTGACATGTCATTTCTACGAAGATGGCACTGAAAGCCCCTCCCAAAACTGAAACCAAAGCAAAGACATTAAAGGCCAAGAAGGGAATCCTGAAGGCCATCCATAGCCACAAAAGAAAGATCCGCATGTCACCTACCTTCTGGCAGCCTATGACACTGAAACTCCGAAGACAGCTCAAATACCCTAGAAGAGCACCCCCAGGAGAAACACGCATGACCACTATGCCATCATCAAGTTTCCCCTGACCACTGAGCCATGAAGAAGATAGAAAATAACAATACACTTAGATTCATTGTGGATGTCAAGGCCAGCAAGCACCAAATCAAACAAGATGTAAAGAAGCCCTATGACACTGATGTGGCCCAACACCTTGATTAGGCCTGATGGAACGAAAGGCCTATGTTCGACTTGCCCCTGACTATGATGGTTTGAATGTTGCCAACAAAATTTAGATCATCCAAACCAAATTCAGCTGTTAAATTCTAAATATACATTTTTCTCACACATACACAGAAAAGGGCAACATCTACCCAGAAGTAAAGATAAGACCGTAGGGAGGAGTGGGGGATGGGATGGACAGATGTGAAGAACCCAGGATGCAAAGAGGTAGAGTGAAAGCACACTGTAAGATTTCCCAAGGTCACAGAATAACTGAGTATAAATGAAAACAGGTTTGCTCTGTAAACTTCTACCAAAAACACAATAAAATATTTAAAAAAAACAAATCAAGTCATAAATACAAAGGCTTTTTCTATTGTACTAGATTACACCTCAGACTGATTAAACAGAGTATCAAGGGTTTAGGACCTGGACGTCAGTACGTTTTAAAAGCTCTTCAGTCAATTTCAACATGCATTTGGGCTTGAGAACCAAAAATATTGGCCAAAAGTAGCCCCATTTTTACCATGTGAAACTTGTGATTAATATCCACTCTCCTTAAGAGATAAATCTATCAGATTGGCTCTTGCAGATGAGAATTAATACTACCTGACAAGGAAATGGACAAAGAGCTGGAACAATTTGTTTCTGGCTCCAGACAGCCAGGTCTAGCACTCTTGCTACCCCTGAAGCTCATGCTGCTAGAAACTGACCTGTGTTCCTAAGTGGCACTATTCAGTCAGCATGACTGCAAATTTAGTGTATTCATGCTATTGTTGTGTATGCTGAGTCAGAACCTACTCATAGCTGACCCTCCGGCAGGTTTTCAGAGGCAGTTAATCATACAAGAGGAGACCGTCCATCTGCAGAGCAGCTGGTGGATTTGAACCACGTGCCTTTGGGATTGCAGTGTAGTTGCTTACCACTAGGCCACAAAGCTCTCATTAGAAGCGTTTCATGCACTTATTCCCTCAGGCTCGAGGAATGTGACACTTCAGCACCTGGTGTCAAAATGTGCATGGTGAAGAAGAGCTGTATACACCTGGATGGTTCCGTAAAAACAGTCAAGCCGCTAAACCCAGGGAAACACTTCTGTTTAATGTGCATAAGTGGCAACAAATGCAATGTGAACAGTGGCCCTGGAGCCCTGCAGCACCACAGGGCCACTAGCTGTGCTGCTGCCTGCCCAGCCTCATTGCTCTCCTATCCTCTCAGAGCTCTCACAAGCACTCTCCTCTCTCATCTTTGCGCTTAGTGTACTTTTCACTCTGCATGGAACACTTGTTCCTCAGCTTGCGGGCACTGGTGTAAATGCTGCTTCCTGGAAGAAGACTTTCCCACTCCTACCCATATCAATGAAGCCTTATCCAGGTGAGATGCTCCTGCTATATCCTTCATGCCCACAAGCTGCCCTGTCAGACTCTTTACACAGCAGTGTATGACTGAGTATAAGGACTTTTATTCATTACCTAATTCCCAGACCTGACACCCAGAAAGTCTATAATGTGATCCCAGAAAGAAGACAGAGAAATAAACCTATAACTGACTCACATAAAAAAAAAGTCCTCTCTGCTCCCTGTAATGAAAGATCTGAGGCTGCACGTTCTCAGCCTGTCTGCCTGGCAGACATGGGCTTTCAGCCCACGTACATGGTTAGATGTCCATAACTCCTGCTCTCAGCCTGCCTGCCCAGGAAGACATCTGCAACCCCACTGTTACAGATTTCAATGGCTGACTTTTCAGTAGATTGCCAGGCCTTTCCTCTTATGTACCTAGGGGTGAATTCGGATCTCCAGTCTTTCAGTCAGCAGCCGAGTGCCTTATATGCACCACCCAGGAACTACTAAAGAACCCCTCAACAACTCAATCTGCCATCAAGTCAGCATCAACTCACAGCTGACCCTCCAGCAGGTTTTCAGAGGCTGTAAATAAATCACAGGGAGGAGACTGTCTTTCTCTCTGAGCTGCTGACAGAGTTGAACCACCTCTGCGTCAGCAAAAGAAAGCCCCATTGTCTATGGCACTGGCTCTCCCTAGGGCTAGTCAGTAAGAAGTTTCGGCAAGCACCCAAACAATGGGAATCCATGAAAGGCTGGGGTTTCATCCATCTCAGGACAGGACAAGCAAGCTGCAGAAAGGAGCTGAGCAGTGATGGATCAGAAGTCAGGGGTCAGTTCAGTTACATCAACTCGGCTTGCTCTGGTGCTAGCCAAGCAGACATTCCCATTCATAACCGATATTCCCAAAGGATGTGTACTCAGAAGCCATTTTGGAAAAAACACAGTGACTAGGTCATTAACTTTCCAAGTTCAATAAATGAAGAAACCAGAACCAAGCCCCTCACTTCCTATTCCCTCTGTCCCCTCAGGAAGGACACTCCTGAGGCAAAGGACTGTGATGTGAGTGCAGGCAAGCTAAAGTGCTAACATGTGCCATTACCTCTTGCTGCTTCTCCTCATTGGCGTAGGTGTCTACAAACACTCCCAGCCCCACAAATTTGTCCATGTTTCCAAACACAGGCCCTAGAGAGAGAGAACAGATGATGAACATGAAACAAAGCTGATAAGGAATATATATACCACAGTGGAGGGAAAGCACAATTCAAATGACTCTGAGGCCTCCCTTAAAATGAGAAAACGTATGTGAAAGCAGTCAGCAAAGTGTGTGGCCAGTAACAGCAGCCAGTTAAGTACCTGTGGTATTTGTTGGTGGTGGCAGGGGAAAGAGAGAAGGTGCACTTCAGTTAGCACAACAGCAGCTCGCTGATCCCTACAGGACTGTTTCCTGAGCACCCAGTGAAGTATGACCTCAAGAGAGAACTGAATTCCCAAGGCTGACTTCTTGTTGCAACAGTGATCAGGTCAGATCAGGTTGAGCATGCCACCTACTTAGAGCAGCAGCTCCAGCACAAGGAAAGAGTGAATAACTTTTGACTCAGCAGTGGTGAGGTCTTTCATTGAGTATGCCCAGAAGAAATCCACGCACCCCACCATCGGGGCTCAAGGGGGCTAGTCAAAGGCCACGGGATTTCACAGGGAAATCTAGAAAACATTAAGCAGCAAGAAATCTCCCCCAGATGAGTCAAGCTTACCTGTTCATTAGGACTCAAGCCCCATTCCAGGGCCTAGACAGGCCAGTCTTCATTCCAACATATTGAGGGAGAGGAAAAACTGCTGGCACAGCGGGAGAGCACCCTCCTCAGGAAGAGGGCATGTGAAAAAGCATGCTGTCACTCCCCTTGTGAGTCTCCCGGGGTCCTAGTACCTGGCTGCATCCGATCCTTTGTGTACCAGATCGCCAGGCCATCCCCATGCAGATTCTTCTTCCCTTGTCCATGTATTCTGAAGTGCACTTGTAATTCCCAGTCTCTCAGGAAACATGGCTAAAGCAACAAAGACACTGGAATCAATGCACGGAATGAACTGTGACAGCAGCTGTATCAAGCTTGTATCTGCAACGCACAGATGTGGAAAACACGCTTACACTCAGTACCAGACTAAGGTTAAAGTAAAAATCTAAGACCTGCTAAGTAAAACTGAACAGACAAAGCAATTCAATTGTACAGAGATTTAAAATGAAAAATGAATCCAATTCCCAATAATCTTCAATATTTCCCAAAGAAGCACTCCCAAGACAGATGTGGGGTAAATGAGACCACTGTAATCTCAACTTACACAAGAGTAGTTAATTACTCACTTTCAGGTTAGCATCACCCACTGCTGGCAGACAGACTCTAAAAAGCTTGGAGTTAAAGGTCAAAGCCTCATTCCTTACAAAAGAACAAGAAAACCTAAGTCATTATGCAAAGGTTTCCAGGAATAATTAACAGATGCTATAAACAACTCTAAATAGCTAGACTTGGCCCTGTGTCAACTGAAGGGCAATACAGAGCTCACAAGACAGATGTGTGCATTACAGTCCCCAAAAGCCTCTTGCCCGCGGCAAGAAGCCCAAGTGCACCAGAGGGCCAGAGGAGAACTTCACTCACTCACTCTCAAACAAACACACACTCACACAACACAGACCTGCCTCAGAACAGCCTCTGTGGGAAACGCAGGAAGCAGGTGCTCATCAGACTCCAGCTAGTTGAATTGTGTAACACACCTTAGGAACAACAGAGGAGGTGGCAAGCACTCTAATTTCAGAGTTTTAAATCAATTTCAAAGACAAATCAGAGTGAGCATTGGGTAGGGCGGTTCCTGGTTAAGGTAGTTCTGAATGAAGAAAGAGGAGGAACAACAGCAGGTAACTGGCTGGTTTCAGCCAGCGGCCCTGCGAGTAAAAGGACTCTCCACATACACAAGCTCTGGTTCCTGGGCAACGTATGGCTAAATCACTCTCTGGTTCTGTTTTTCATTTCTGGGATACTGTTCCAAATGTGTTAGTATTAGGAGAACACAGTCAAAATGAACAAGGGTAAGGGTACTTCTAGATTCAGCAAGATGTCCTGATATCTGCAACAGCCCATCCTATTATTATGAACCCAGGTTCTGTAATTTTGGGTTCTCATTTTTCCATTTCATTTATATTAATTTCAGAGTAACAGTGAAATTCAGTGGCAGGAATTTGCTGCACACAGCCAGTGGGTGGGTATTATGCTGCTGGGAACAAACATAGCAAGACTAGAGTGTACAGTGAACCAAGTGGAGTCTGCATTAATAAATGGCTTTACATGTAATACACATGCTATATTGTCCTTCTCAAGGCTATGTCTAACAGCGGTTCTGAAACTACTGTTCATTAGAACTATCGCAGAGCTTTTAAAAGTCTTTTTACTCAGACTGTACCCTATGGAATGTCTCCCCAAAATGTCCGGGAGATCCTAACTCCTTTGGCACAGCCAATTACAAACTGCACTGCCACCAAAGGCTGAACATTTCCCGAGGTCTGAACCTTCCAGTGGTGCCCAGGGAGAAAATGGGCAGCCTTCTTCTGCTAAGATTTAGCACCTTGGAAAACTGATGCAGGATCACTAAGTCAGAACTACCCAAAGGTAAAGAGCTTGCATTTTCTTGATGCTTGTGTTTTCATCCCATTTGGGAACGCATTTTCTCTGTTATGTTAATAACAGTACAGTCACTAACATGGCTGGGTTCCAAAGACCAGGTCACTACATACAAATTGGGTGTTTGGTGGAAACGGAACATGGCTACATCAGAAAACAGAGGACCACCTCCTGGCTTAAATGACAACTTTTAGCTCAGCCAAGGTAATATATAACTTTGTCAGCACAGCTAGCATCACTGCAGTTGAGACACCATGGTCTCAAGCCCTGGCATTTACCACTGCCATTATACCAGTAATGTACAAAACTGTAATGATTTTTTACTACTATTGTGAATGCAAAATGTTGGATGAGAGAGAGTTGGTAAGTGAGAGATTAGCATACAGTTGAGGGAATGCTGGTGACTTAGTGGTAAGGAGCTGTGGGGCTACAGGAGAAAGATGGGTAATCTCCTTCCACATGATTGTCTCTGAAAACCTGTTGAAGGGTCAGCTATGGGTTGGTTCTGGTTTGAAAATACTCAACAAGTACACAGTGTGTCCTGAGTCAAATCTTTTGAGATATTAAAAAGATCAATGATAGACACAGAGAAACATGCAGAACTGCGGACAAGCCACATGGAGGTCAGCTAGGAGCAGAAGCTCAGAAAGGACAAGGGCTTTCCTCCAGAAGGGAGAGAGAAGGGCTTCCAGCCAGCACCCTGAGTGCACACTTCTTGCATCCTAAGCTATGAGGAGAAAAAAAAAATTCTGTTTGCCAGTCACCCTGTTTAGTATTCATGTTTCTAGAATTGGCACTAGGTAAATAAGACTCAGCCTATTAGTGAGAATTTTTGTGTGGGGCCCAGGCATGAATTCCAAAGAATGGCCACACTTGAGACCCACCACTCAAGTACAAATCTAAAACCTCAGAAAAAAACTCCACAGGTCTTTCTGATAGCAAAACAAAGGGCAATCAGAGATTTATGAAAGGGCAGGATAATGAGATCCGACAGAAGACTTGCTTCTGGAAGAGTAATAAATGGTAGGCAGCAAGATAGAGGTAAGGTCTTGCATGTGCCTTGGTCACAAGTATTCAGAAAAATGCAAGAGTCCCATCAAGAACCTATTGACACAAAGATGAAAGCATCTGTTAACCGAAGACTGGCAGCTGGAACCCACCCATCCACCATGGGAGAGAGAGGAGGCAGTCTGCTTCCATTTAAGATGTACAGCTTTGGAAGCCACAGGGGCAACTCTCCTTCACCCTGCAGGGCTCTTAGGAGGCTGAATCTAGCTGACAGCAGGGGGCCAGATCTGAGCTTTGAAGAATCCCATCAATGAACCTAACAAAATAGATTTCTGTATCATTGTTAACTTTACAAAGCCTTTCCACTAGTCTTATTTAATTTTCACAACAACTCTAACAGATCAGTTATTTAAACTCATTGGTGTCAAGTCAGAATGGACTCTTCCAGCAGGAGGCAGTAAATCACAGGGCAGGAGACCACCCATCTACTCCTGTGAATGACATCATCTTGGGGTGAGCCATGTTAACGCCCTAACAATCAGGTCACCAGAGTTCCTATGCTGGTAAGCAGAACACATATTCTGAAGTTCATTTAATAAATAAAGAAAACTGAAAACTTAAGTGAAATAATCCACCTGCCTAGAACTCATGGTGGGTCTATGGCAGAGCAAGATCAAGAAGCCAAGTCTTTCGACTGCCAGCCCTTCACCAGAACACTCTGCCCTGCCCACACTCTATCCAAGAACAAGTTCAGCATAAGAATCTGGGTTAAGAGGCCAGCTCCTGCAGACAGCTCACATAGCAACCTCTACTCTTACCCCTTTTCTCCGTTAGCATTCTCTCACACATAACACAAATAGGAAACAGAAATCGTTGGCTTTTTTCCTGATGTTCACTGTCTTCAATTAATGAAGAAAACCATGTAAAAACAAATCCTTCACGTAACAAAGCCCAAGAGGAAGCACCAAGGACACCCAAGTCAACCCAAAGTAAAATGGTGCTAAAAGATTCAGGCGCCCTAGTGCAAATCACAGTGCAGTCACACCTCAAGGGAGACAGACAGTGTAGCGAGGGAAGGTCCAGAGGACAAATAAAACAGACAATGGCTTAGAGCAACTTTCCCACATGAAAAAAAAATTCAAAATTAGACTCCACAAACAAACAAGGAGTGATACTAGGATGCAATTTGGGATAAATCTAAGAGTAGTCTTCTATTTTACAAAGGAAAATAATAAAGAAAGGACTGCATTTCCTAAGAAACAGTACAATGAGGCATAACAGAAATGAAACAGATTTCAGAAAACAGAGTCAAAAGAAATTACTTCAGTATAATTAGTGCACCAGCGTACATCCCTAAGCATTTGATTTGCCAGAAAAGTCATCAAAATGTCTAAAATAAAGATCCTTGGTATCAACAGAAAACAGAACTTGGGGATGGAGACAGTAAACTGCGGGTTTTTTTATAAGAGCTTAAAGGTCACCACCATAGGAGGGATAAGGCTCTTACCACCCGGTTCCACAGAGCACCCTGTTTACTCTGCATATCTGGGGTAAGTCGGATGTACTGGGTCATCACCATGGCATTGCCCATCAGATTCCACAATGAGGAACTGCTTGTGCCCACACCTATGGGGAGGAAGTGCATCAGTTCATACCCTTCAACACTACCCCCTTCAAAAGCCACCACTGGCCCTCCAAAAGCTGTTGTTCATAAATTGAAAATCATTATCATCTTTGTGTCATAATGCCCCTTTCTGAAGATACCCAAATCCATCAGAGCTATCACTTATTTGCCTATGACACAGTAATAAGTGAGTGATCTTACAGCACCATGGGGAGGGGGGAGGGAATCCCTTAGTTATATCAAAAAAACAGCCTGACGCTCAGGCCTCAGGGTTTAACCATATTTTCTTTAAATAATTTTTTAAGTGTGATGCTACTTCTCATCTTATACTCACTCCACATAAATCCCACAAACTGTGAACTCCGTGAATGTATAAATGCACATTAGTAGCAAAGGAACTGGCACTCAATGCAGCTGCTAAGTGAATAAGCAATCCTTAATAGTAGAGTGTATTTTCTTGCACTTTGAGCCCGATGTTTGTTTGCAGTCCCCCAACCCACCTACATTCTTTAAGCCATCTGCAATGATTTGGTGCTCTCTGTAGTTAAACGCATCCACTGTCTAGTCAGCAAGATCTGCTTGGAGGCGATCCTGTCTTTCCCTCATGAATAGCGTTCCTGACTTAGAGCGGAACACGAGTGCTATCTGGCAATAGAATCTTCTTTCCGCACATCGGATCTGTCTCAGCTCAAGCACCTGCTTTCTTTCTAGACCCACCCGCGTCTGCAGGCTGGCTCACTGCCAGTGCTACTTCCTCTACCACTTGTATGCCTCTTCCCTTCTCCTATTCCTGGCCAACTGCAAGAGATCTCCCTAAGTCCAGGCCGAGACCAGTCCTGTCCAGAGCACCATGTCGACCTCTGGAAACTTCCAGAGCTACGACGGGAGGGAGGGATGACCTCTGTCCTCCAGCCCCTGGACTCCCAAATGCAACAGGCGCCCCTGTGCCCTCCGCCCCGGGCAGCGGGGGAAGGCTGCTTGGGCCCCAGCCTTCGCCGTTCCCGCCTCCACCGACGAGCATCAAATCCCGAAAGCTCCCCGCACGACCGCTTCACTCAGGGCGCCTCACCCAGGTAGGGCTTCGACAGCGAATGCTCCCGTTTCAAGTACTCGAACGTCTGACCCGCCCCGACTTGCCGAGGCCCCTGCCCGGACCCCAGCAGGAGGAGGAGGAGCAACATCTTGCACCCATCCCGAGACGGCAAGTGCCGTCCCCAGGGCCACCTCCACCACCCAAAGAAACCCCCAGCAGCAGCCATCTTTCCCTCCGCCGAGCCTGCCTCAAAAGCCCGCCCAGCCACACAATCCATTGGTTGGTGGAGCCACTTGCCGTGCACCCAATTGGCTCTGGTCGAATCGCCTCCTCCAAGAGTGAGCGTCTCAGCGATTGGCTCGCTTACCTCTCAGTTGCCCTGCCAACCCAAAGAAAGGGCGTGACTGAATGCTAAAAGTGTTTTATTTGGGTTTATCTTGTGCGGCTCTAGGCTTGTCGAGTTATGATGAAATTTACTTTTATTTGCTCTCTTGAGTAAATTTAAAGGCAGAAGACGTTTCTGCAAGTTGCACTCCAACTTCCTATCCTCTTATACCACTCTGTCGACTGTAGAAAACAATCAGGAGAATACGGAACTGAAAAGAGAAATAGACAAATCCACTATCAATGCAGAGAGGCTCAAAATCAGGAAAGGTGTGCGCCAGACATGAATCCTCTCTCCACACCTTTTCAATCTATACGCAGAACAGATCATCCGGGAAGTTGGGCTCTATAAAGAGGAATGTGGCGTCAGGATTGGAGGAAGACTCATCAACAACCACCATTATGCGGATGACACAACCTTGCTTTCTGAAACTGAGGAGGGCCTGAGGCATTTGCTGCAGGTCAAGGGCTGAATCCTTCAATATGGATTGAAGCTCAACATCAAGAAAACAAAGAGTTTTGCATCTGTATTCATGAGAGATGTTGGTCTGTAGTTTTCCTTTCTTGGTAATATCTTTGGCTGGTTTTGGTATTAAGATATGCTGGTTTCGTACAATGACTCTGGGAGTGTTCCTTCTTTTTCAATTTTTAAAAATAATTTAAGTAGAATTGGTGATAGATCCTCTCTGAATGCTTGGTAGAATTCAGCTGTGAAGCCAAACTTTTTGTATGGGTAAGTCTATGACCTTTTCCAATTTCTTTTGTGATGGGTCTGTTAAAGTGTTCTACATCTGTCCTTGTCAGTCTGGGTAGGGCATGAGTTTTAAGGAATTTGTCCATTTCCTCTAGGTTTTCGAATTTATCAGAGTACAGCAGTTTTTCATAGTATTTTGATATTATCGATTTAATTTCATCTGGTTCTGTTGTGATGTCACTTCTATCGTTTTTTGAGTTATCTGTGTCTTTTCCTTTTTTTTTTTTCTACATTGTTGGTGGGACTGGACAATGGTACAACCACTCTGGAAGGCAGTTTGGAGCTTCCTCAAAAAGCTGAACATAGAAATTCTATATGACCCAGCTATTCCACTGTTTGGAATATACCCCGAGAAAATGAGAACTAAGGCACAAATGGAGATTTGTACACCAATGTTCATAACAGTGTTATTATTCAGCATCACAAGAACATGGAGACAGCCCAGCTGTCCAACCACAATTGAATGGATTGAAAAATTATGGTACATTCACACAATGGAATATGATGCAGCACACAGGATCAATGATTTTGTAAATTGCTATATAACTTGGGAGGGACTGGAGAGCATTATGCTGAGTGAACTAACTCAGTTTCATAAGCACAAATTCTATATAAAACCATTATTATAGAATGAGTATGAGGATCCAAGGAGAGGGAGGGTGGAAGCAGAGGGGTGAGGATGTCCAGGGGGTGGAGATTAATCATGGTCACACAATTTGATAGAGAGTAGGGGGAATGGGAAGGATCTGGTGTGAAAAACAATGTATTTGAATTTTGTAAATAAACTATAAAAATGTAAAATAGACGGTATATGAATGATTGTATGAAACATAATGTAAATGAAAGATTGTATAAAAACCAATGTATGTGAATGAAACTGTAAAGGTGTTATTATGAAAATCAATAAAAATATTAAATAAAATTAGAAAAGGTAAAAAGCAAACAAAAAAATCTCAGCATTGGGCTGACTGGCAGCATCATGATAGGTGGTGAAAAGATTGAGATTGTTAACAGCTTCAGTTTGCTTGGCTCCACAGCACTCTTGGTACCAGCAGTCAGGAGTCAAAAGACAAATTGCATTGGAAAAATCTGCTCTCAGGGAACTCTCCAGAGTGCAGAAGAGCACTGATGTCAGTCTGGAGACTACGGTGTGCCTGATCCAGGCCATAGTCTTTGCAATTACTTGCTATGCATCAGAAAGCTGGACAATGACTAAAGATGATAGAAGGAGAATTGATACCTTTGAGCCGCAGTGTTGAATTGCTATGAGAACAAACAAATTCATCCTGAAGAGGATGAAATTGGGCTGCTTCTTGGAGGCAAGGATTCTGAAGGTCCATCTGACATACTTTGGGCATGATGCAAGGAAGGATCAGTCCTTGGAGAGGGACAGCACAAGAGAGGAAGACCCTTGATGAGATGGATTAACTCAGTGACTGGGATTATGAGGGTAGGTCTATCAGAGACAATAACGTTGGCTCAGGATAGAGCAGAGTTCAGAGCTGTTGTACATAGGAACACTATGCATCGGAAGCGACTTGATGGCACATAACAACAAAAAAAATACATAAGACTTGAACAGCATTATCCACCATCTTGACCTGTTTTTAGAACACTTCCCCTAAGTGGGCCTAAGAGACATTCTTTACAAGTGCAAATGAAACATTTAGCAAGATAACTTGGTCCAAAACCAGATTGCTCTATAAAACAAACCCCAACAAATTTAAAAGAGTTGAAAGCTTTTATGAAGGATGTTTTTCCAACCTAGTAAAATTAAACTACAAATCAGTAATAGGAAGAAATTTGAGAAATCTCTAAACACTTGGAAATTAAACAACTCACTTATAAATTACCCTCTGGGTCAATATTGTTATATTACTGAGTCAAAACTAACTCATAGCTTGACCATCACATGAGAGGAGATTCTCCCTGGAGCCACTGGTGGATTCAAACTATATGCCTTTATGTTGGTGGAACAACTCTTTACCACTAAGCCACCACAGCTCACTGGGTCAATGAGAAGATGGGAGGTTCCAGAGGCCTTCAGCATGTCCTTGAGAGACAGAACATAAGGATCCCTTACTGGGGACACAATAATACCTAGGGCCTACAGCCAGAAAGATGGGAATTGTGTTTGTTTTGTTTCCGTCATCCATTCTAGCACCTAACCAATAAGGATGATGGAAGAATCAATGCCTTTGAGTTGTGGCATTGGAGAAGAGTACCAGATACGTGATGGACTACCAAAAGGACAAGAGGTATTCATGGAGGAAGTGCAACCAGGATGTTCCTTGGAGGCAAGGGTGGTGAAACTTGATCTCACGTATGTTGAAAGTATTAAGAGGGATCAGTCTTTGGGAAAAAGCATCATGCTGTGAAAAGTAGAGGGTCAGAGAAAGAGATGAAGACCTTCACAAGATAGATTGACACAGTGACTGTAACAACAGGATTGATCGTGAGGAGGACACAAGATAGGACAAAGTTCAGATCAGTTGTCCATAGGGTCACTATAATAACTCAGTGTCACTAAACAACAACCAAAGTCAAGTGATGATTTTGCTCTTAATTATTTCTCAGAATTTGTCATTTCCTTTTCAACACTTCCTTCATCTTTCTCTAGAACCACATGTGTCCCAGTTGGTTTTTAGGCCACCTCCTCCACAGATCCCCAAAAATATAACTGCGCAGCCATGCCATTTCCTTGGTGTCACAGCAAGGTTGGCCAGGCTCTGGTGTGTTGGCAGTGGTGTGGTTGCTGTTGACTCCATGCTGACTCACAGTAGCCCATGTGTGCAGAGTAGAGCTTCTCTGTAGGGCTTTCAAGGCTGTAACCTTTTAGAAGCTGACCGATAGGTGTCCTTTCTAAAGGACTTCTGAGTGAGTTCAAACCACCAACCTTTTGATGGAGTCTGATGTGGAGACAAAGACACAGATCCGGCAGACATTCTGTAGCAGGCATGCATGGAGCACCCCGGAGCCCAAGGAGTGCTAGGTATCTTTGCCTGAGCCACTCATCTTGACATAAAAATATCTTAGGCCACTTACTTTTCCTTTTCTCCAATCCACTTCCTCCCAGAGGTTTTCTTTGACTCCCTAAGATCCTCAGACAAAAGTAGAAAGTCTTTCTCTGGGTTTCCAGAGGGTTCTACATGATTTCCCCCCTTTTTTTCTTTTTAAGTATTATCAAAGCAATATTTTGCCCTCCCCCCTTATACTCACAGTATTGTTTGTTAATACAGAAAATTTGGCAAGGAAGAAAATTGAAAAGAAAAGAAAATCACTTAATTGGAGGTATGCTTCCACATAAGGATAAGTGTTAGCCTTGCAATGAGTATCATTCCTCTATTTCTCTATCTCTATCTCTATCTCTATCTATATATCTATCTATATTATGTGTCCTAGGCATGAAAAACTTTGGTCACAACCCAGGCATCAAACTAGGATGAACAAAGGACCCTGCTGACTTGGCCTCTGACTGGTATAAGAGCATCACCCACCAATTCCCTGAATTTTTTTAATAGAGTTGTGCCAAAATCCACATTTTTTACTCTCCAAAACATTTGTTGTTGTTATTATGTGTCTTCGAGTTGCTTGCAGCTCATAGTGATCATATGGACAACAACCCTATGCCCTTCTCTATCCTGTGCCAATCTTATTGTCTCCGACACACCTATCCCCACTATCCCAGTCACTGAACCAATACATTTCATTCAGGGTCTTCCTCTCCTGTGCTGTCTGTCCACCTTCCCAAGCATAATGTCCCTCTGGTCCCTCCTTGCAATGTGTTGAAAACATGTAAGATGAAGATCAGAATCCTTGCCTCCAAGGAGCAGCCTGGTTTTACCCTTTTCAGAACAAAACTATTTGTTCTCCTAGCTGCCATGGTATATTCAACACTCTTCTCCAACACGACAGCTCAAAAGTATCAATTCTCCTTCTATCATCCCTAGTCATTGTCCAGCTTTCTGACACATAGCAAATAATGGCAAAGACTGTGGTCTGAATCAGGTACACCTTAGTCTCCAGACTGACATTTAGGCAAAGTTAATTCTTCCTCTCCTCAAAAGGAGTTTAATTTTATTTAATTAATGTTGTCATAGTCATTGATTTTTTTAATA